CCCGCCCCCGCCCCCGAGATGAGACAATGATAAACCAGAAGCTGGATCCAGAGTGAGCAAAAGGTGGCAAGCTTTTCCAGAACATCCACACATATTGGATGCAAGTGACGCCCCTGCAGAAATTGATCGACTTATCACCTCAGAACACATCATGGAGTTGATTAGATCATACCACTAAATGGAGGATAACCACATCATTACATAACTGCCACACCGCTGAAAATTATGCCCTAGCCAAGTTGACACATAACCAGAAACACCACACACCCCTAGTAGCCCTACTGGAGTTGTGCTCGGTGCCATGCTCAAGTCTTGAAGTGCATTTACGTAATATGGCTCTTCTAGACAGAGTTTTTATCACTCTCACCAACTCACTGGGTGGAACCATGCAAATAGGGTGCATGAAACTCTAAAGGGGGATAAGTTTTGCCATTCAGGAATGGGAAATCTCATTACCGTGAAGAGGGAAGGTCCAGAAGTGAAGTGGGTCCTTTGGGTGCTAAGACCCCTGTACTGACCACAATCCCTGGGCTGACAGAGCTGTGATATCAAAGAGTGAGAAACAGAAGAGAAGTGGTGAAGTGGCAGCAGCAGAGGGAGTGGCACCAGGAATGTTGGGCATCCAGTTCCGCGGAGCAAATAAAGCCAAGGACTTTTGAGCAAGAGTGTAACGATCCCCCTAGGACTTAATCTGGGGAACCGGGCCTGCTGACCTATGGAACTAGACCTCAGTGCCTTTGGGTTTGGTTTATGGCAAAGTGATGTGCCCTTGGTCATCCTCCAGCAGTGCTAAAGGAGCTTTGTAGCACTTGTCTGAGCAGGACAGAAGCCAAGCAATTATATGGCTAAGGGCCAGAGGGCCAGAGAGAGGGAAGTGCTCCTGATTGAATAACTATTGTTTCTGATCTTGAATTGTAACCTGTTACCTTCCCTAATAAAACCTCACAATTGTGAGTATTGTCTGTGAGTTCTATGTCAACATTGCAACAGGTTATTGAACCCAGCAGAAAAGTAGAGGGCAGTGGGAGGAACACAAGGTATCAGAATGGGGGAAAGAAGGTTGGAGGGTGGAGGCATGTCTGACCTCTGCCTCACAGGAATCAGCCTTGGCCTGATGTGCAGTTGAATTTTCCTTCCCCCTGGTATAGTCAGAGGAGATCAAATGCCACCTCCACGCCACTTTGACAAGTTTCTATTCAGCAAATTCAAATGCTGGATTTAATGAGTAATTTTCAATTAAGACCAGAAAACTCAGTTGGATGGGAAGAATACCGGGAAGAATCATTTGTTGAAATAAGAGTAAATATATGTGTCTGTTTGTTCTGTGTTAAACACTGCTCCAGCTCAACCAATTGAGACCTGATTTATATTTTTTCAATGACATTTTAAGATTTTAGTTTAAATTTTTTAAACAGCTACTTACCCACACTGCGTTCCATTTGTCCCAGTCTGGCTGAGGGAGCTGTTGGCCCATACAATGGTGTTATTTACACATTCTCTTCCAGGGATCTTGAGTTCTTGCAGTTCATTGTCATAGTCAATAAAAACATCTGTCATCGTGCCAAAAACAAGTATCATGACTGGCTGGGCCACTCCATGAAGAAATGCACATAAACTTCCCACAACCATCAGCCAAATGTCAGTCGATGAAGAAAACCGAAACTTGAAAAACAAAGAGTTCAAAGATCATCTATGGGTGAAAAGCAGGAGAAGTAGGGGGGCTCTTTAATTTTAGTTTACACTGCCTATAAGTAGGATCCAGCACCCAATTTTATGGGAATCATTTTGATTGAACAGTAGAGTTCACATTAATTTGATCAAAATTAAGTTTATATCAATTATCTAAAATTTCCAACTCCTACACTATTACAACCACTTGTCATTAGAGTAGATCCCAGTGTATGGCGACCCCATAGGTGTCAGAATAGAACTGTGTTCCATGCGGTTTTCAGTGGCTGATTCCTTTGGAAGTAGGTTGCCTAGTCTTTATTCAGAAGTCACTCTGGGTAGACGCCAACCCCCCACCTTTCAGTTAGCAGCCAAGCACATTAACAATTAGTTCGTCCCAGGGACTGCCTTGTGAGAGATACATGTATTAGTCTTTGAGCTTACTCTCCTAACTATTCAGTCACAATGTAATGAGGGAAGCAATCACTGTTGCAGACATGCATGGGTAATTCCACAGTAGCATGCAGTGGGCTCACAGATCTGATCAGGGCAGTGAAGAAAGCCTTTTGTGCCTAAATACCCCCTGGCTCTCAGATTGTGAGCAAATATACTATAGAATGTCTAAAACCATGAGTACTGTTATGATTGTCTCATTAAAATGATTATTTAGTGTTTAGTGGTTGTTCTGCAAGACATTTTTCTGTGCCCATTTTGTCTTCAGCGTTTGTGCCAGGAGAGCGACCATCACAGAATGCCAAGTTGTTAGAACAAAGAAGATGTGGTGAAGAAAGCTGATGGTGCCTGGCTATCAAAAGATATAGCATCTGCGTTCTTAAAGGTTTGAAGTTAAACAAGCAGCCATCTAGCTGAGAAGCAGCAAGCCCACATGGAAGAAGCACACCAGCCTGTGTGATCGCGAGGTGTAGAGGAGATCGGGTAATAGGCATCAGCAGACTCAAAACAAATAGACAAGCAAAAATCCATATTGTTGAGAATGAGGAGGGTGGAAGCAGAGACCCAAAACGCATCTGTAGACAATTGGACATCCCCTCACAGAAGAGTCACAAGGAAGGGATGCATCAACCAGGGCTCAGTATAGCACCAATGAAACACAATATTCCTCTGGTTCCTCGAGGCTTCCTCACCCCCAACTATAAAGACCTAAGCCCTGCCTTTCTCTCTGGGCTAGACAGGAGCATGTGCAGATAAGAGATAAGAGCTCACAGCACACAGAATCCAGGAACAGGAATGGGAGTGTCAATACCAGGAGTGTACGGGGAAGGTGGGGAGAGGAGGGGAATAACAGGGGAACTGATCACAATGATCAACACATAAACATACACACACACACACACACACACACGGGAATGAACAACAGAAATCGTGGGGGGAGGGAGACAGCGGTCCTTGTAAGAAAATAAAATGTTATAATTTATCAAGGGTCCATGAGGTGGGGTGGGGAGGGGAGGTAAAAAGGAGCTGATGCCAAGGGCTCAATAAAAAGTAAATGTTTAGAAAATGATGGCAACATATGTACAATGGCTCGATACAATTGATGTATGAATTGTTATAAGAGCTTTAAGAGCCCCCAATAAAATGATTTTTAAAAGATACTCTTCTGATCTATGATGTGGGTTTTGCATGATGAATCACCTCACTCACTGCCCTCGAGTTGATTCCAGTTCAGACCTACCCTACAGGACATAGTAGAACTACCCGTGTGGGTTTTGGAGGCTGTAAATCTTTACGGGAGCAAAAAGCCTCCTCTTTCTCCCATGGAGCAGCTGGTGAGTTTGAACCACCACACTTGTGGTTAGCAGCTTCAGGAGCAAACCACTAGTGTCAGAGTTCCCTATTAATCAGCTCCGTCTAATTGTGACTCAGCATGATATCACACAGACAAAGATTACGACTGAAAAAAAGTCAGGACACGGGCCAATATGACTAAAGACTTAACACGTCCTTTATGATCTGAACAGGTCACAACTACAGAATCAATGTCATAAATCAGCACCAGACTTAACACGTCCTTCATGATCTCAACAGGTCACAGCTAGAATCAATGTCTTCAATCAGCACCTTCCTGGGCTATAATGCTGCACACCCAGGGCAGCTTTATTACCAATCGAAAGAAGCCCACTTGAATGCTGTCTCCTTTCTTCTCATCTTGAAATCTGGGGAGAAAAACAGAGATTTAATTGATAATCCTTCCAAAATAACGAGTTCCCTTTCGGTGGCAATTTTATTTAGGTCGGTTGTATTCATTTAGGATCAGTCTTCAGTAAGGAAAAATGTTCCCGTTGGTTGAGAAATTCCTGCCAAACCAAATAGCTTAAAAACAAACTTTTATTCTCCTAGATTAACCTATGTAGCAAGGGCACTCAAGTACGTGGGTCATAACACATTATAGATAGCATTGTCAAGATGGGAATTCTAGAGCACTTTATAATGCTCATACAATACCTACATAGAGACAAGAGGTAGTTGTTGGAACAGAACAAAAGAGTACAGCATATTTTAATATCAGGAAAGCTGTGTGTCAAAGTTGTATTCTTTCATCATATTTATTCAATCTCTATGCCGAACAAGAAACCCCTGAGGAACAAGACTGTGCAGAAGAGGGCTTCAGGAGTGGAGGAAGAGTCCTTAAGAAGCTGGCACAGCGTACTTGCTAAAAGCTAAGAGGACCTGAAGCACTTACTGATGATGATCAAAGACGATAACCTTTCATATAGATTATGCCTCCATAGAAAGCAAGCAAGCAAAAATCCTCACCACTAGACCATGGTAGCCCCAGTCCAGAAATCAAATGACGAGTGCATCGAACAAATCTCCTGCGCAAGACTCTCCTTTAAAGTGGGAAAAATCGAAGCTGTCACGTTGAGGACTCAAGTGACCCGAGCCATGGCGTTTGTAATCACCCGTGCATGGAAAAACTGAAGAAGGAAATCGAAGACTTGATGTCTTTGAATAATGAGGTTGCCAAAAATATATTGAATAGACCATGAACGGTCACGAGAATGAACAGATCGATCTGGGAAGAAATACAGCAAAGATGTAAAACCAAAGATGACGCCACGGTCTCATGTACTTTGGGCGTGTGGCGATCTCCGGGGATCGGTCCCTGGAGAAGGACATCAAGTTCCATAAAGGAGAGGGTCAGCACGCAAGGGGAAGACCTGAAACAAGACGGGCTGGCTCAGCGGCGGCAGCCTGGGGCTCCATCTTCACGAAGATTGTGAGGATGGCAATGGCGCAGGCACACGGGGTGCTTCATCCGGCTGCACATAGGGTGGCGATGAGTCGGAATAGATCTGATAGCGCCGCACAACAGCCACATGAGGTGACAGTGGGGAAAGCGGTGGCTCAGGGCTAGATGGCCAGCACTGCCCTGCATGCAGGAGAGCCAGGCTTGATGGGCAGCCAATGCAGCTCACGTGCAGCCACACGCCAGCCCTGGTGAAGGCTTGCACGTTGTGTTCATGTTAAATAGGTCTCAGCAGAGTTTCCAGACTAAGACTGACAGGGAAGGCAGGCCTGGTGGTTTACTTCATGAATGGCGCACGACAAGACAGGTTTTGTACTGCTGTGCATGGATCGGGGGCTGACTGGCTGGCTGCTAACAAGTGAGGTGACTCTCGAGCTGTGTCTCATGTTCAGAAGAGCACTCATGACACATTTCTGAGTGAAAGCGAGGAAGGCGCTGTGCTTTCAGTTCTACGAACAAATAATTATCTCACTTGACTGTCAATGGATTTGTTCCTAAATTTCCTTAAAATTGAGGTGATCGGATTAACTGATTCTTTTTGTAGCTTCCTTCTAGTCCTTAAATATGTCACCATCATTGTTGTTGTTGTTGTTGTTGTTGTTGGTTGGTGCCATCAAGTTGGTTCCGACTCATGTGGCACAAGAGGGGAAAAAACACACTGCCCAGTCCTGGGCCATTCTCACAATCATTGTTATATTTCAGCCCATGGTTGAGCCACTGCCAATCCATCTCATTTTTCGTGATGTGATACAAATTTGAAGACAATCCCCATACTTCCCATAAAAATATATATCTTTAGTATTTCTTATCCATTCCACTTCTCAAAAGGTTCAACTTAACCCCTCCTTGACCTACTCATCTCCAGGGAGCTCCATTTCATCTGAGTCACCCACTCTGTGGACACACCCCGGGCCTACCATCACCAAGAACTCATTGACACTCTATCCGTGTGCCTCATGTTCTCACTCACTTCCTCCTTCTTCACCTATTAGTCTGCCTTGGTCATGACCTACAGCCCCTTAAGTCTTTCATTCATTCACTTTTATGGCCACCAAGATCTTTCCTCCTTCCTCATCCATCACATACCCGTGTCCAGCATTCAGACCACACTTTCTCAATCCCTTCCCCCTGTCCATGCATGGAAACTTCATTTGGGAGTCCATCTTTGTAACTCAGCAGCAAAGCCTGCTGGAGAAAATCCCGCCAATATATGAACTGATGCCACAGGAGCCATGTCTGTCACTTAAGGCTCTAATTTCCCCCTTTGAACTCACAGTAGATTTCTTACTAAAATGCCCCTGGCCTTCCTCCATCTGGCCCAGTTAGCTCTCTGGCCTCATCTCCAATTGCTCTCCACAGGAGACTACCATGTCTCCTCTGGAATAGCTGGTGGGTTCAAACCACTTACCTTACAGTTGGCAGCCGATTGCTCAACCACTGCCCTACTGGGATTACCAGATCATGTGCTTTATTTGCGTTTGAGACTTAGGATGTCTCCCTTAAGTTCCTAAAGAGCAAAGATTGTTGCTTGTTTTGTTCTCTTTTGTATTTTCAGTGCTCTAACAGTGCCTGGCACCTGATAGAAACTCGGAACTGAATGAGCAAATGTATGGTCTTCAGCCTTAGCTCAACCCCCTTCAGCATACTTCATTACTCTACGGATCCCTTCTGTTCCAGAGCGTCTTTGTCAAATTTCTCGAGATCTTCTCATTATGTTACAGCGCCTACCAGGAAATTAACTCAAAAGGGCAAAAGAATGCACTCAACATCTTGCTCATCCGCCCTACGTCATCCATCTGCACCCACACCCATCTTCTTTTCTCTCCCACCCAGCTCCGAGCTGACCGTACCACACCTAGCCCAATGCTAACCCTGGTACATCTGCTTCCTCCTCTTCCATGACTTATTCACAACGTCTTAAATACCTCCAGCCCCTCCCTTCCACCACCTCCATTTCAGGCACTAGCTTGGTGCCTCCCTTCGAGCTAAATTAGATCCCATTTAAACTTGCCTTCATGTCAAACTGTAGTTAACCAACAGTTGTTTTATATCAGAATTTAAATGATTAAACAGAAGAGAAATATCTCAATTCACAGAATTTTAAGTTTCTACAGTTCATCTATGGGAAGAATTGGGGGTTCTGTGTCTCCTGTGTCTGTGGAATCATATTTGTAGTTCATTTTTCTTCTGTCTGATTAGGCCAGGAATTCTGTTGTGCTCAAAGCTAGCTGGGAGAAATTTGAAGCTAATGCATAAGAGATGTGCCAAATCACTTTTGAAATCAAAGTATAATACAGTCATGCATGAAAGAGGAAAAGCATAGATTATATGGGATATGTACATGAGAATCTTATCCTTCCTCTGAGTTTTTTGTAAAAATGTTAGTTATTCTAGAGAAGATGCTGCATTGTTGAACTCCTCAAACACTTACCTGGATTTCTTCTCATAGTTATCTGTCAAAATAGAAACAATGCATAAGGCAATTAATAACAAAATGCAATACAGTAATTAATCATACCGCTCTCACACAAAATTATCTACGTCCCCAAAATCAGCCATTAAGAACCCTATGGGGCTTTGACACACATGACATTGCCAGAAAACAGAATCAATTTAGCAACTGATTTTTTTTTTTAAATAGTGCTGAGAGAGGCTAATCTCTTGGGAATCAGAGACGCTGGATTAGTATCTTGGCTGCGTTATCAGTCATATGATCTTGGCTAAGTTTTATTGCTTGTTTGTTTGTTTAAACATAGATAAGTCTCAGTTTCTTCATCTATAAAATATAAAATCAAAGGAAGAAATAATAAGAGTTTACAAATATCCGTGCTTACTATGACAAGGAGCCCTATTGGCACTGTGGGTTAGACACTGGTGTTACCTGCAAGGTCAGTGGTTTAAACCTACCATCCACTACTTGGGAGGGATGAGGCTAGCTGCTTCCCTAAAGATAGACAGTCTTGGGCACCCCGATAGGGTGGCTGTGTGTGCAGCATCAGCTCACTAGGAGTAGGCTGCATGGGGCTTCAGAGCTCACTGCATGCCAAGTGCTAGCGCAGGGCGTTCCTACAACGTCATGCCAGCTGGCAGAGCCTGGGTACAATTCCTCTCAGGGAACTATGTCTCCTAAGTGATTGCTCTGTCACTACTATAATCAATAGCCACAACTTGTGGCTAAAACAAACGCTACCGGCCTGTGCAAGAATGCCCCCTGCTCTATACAGATGGACCGGTGCACAGATCTCGAGCCTGTGGTACCTCCTGCATCCGCCTTTGGCACGCTTCCCTAGGCCTTCAGTCAGCGCATTGCCCAGAGCCTCGGGAGGGCCACCCGGTGGTGTCAGAATCATGCTCGTATTGTTGCTTGAAATTTAACTAGCTTATCCCCCTTTCATCCTCAGCTCTCTGTGCACAAAACATAATGAGAGAAAAAAGACCACTGCCGTGACCCACCGGACTCAAAAGCGTGATTCTCCTCTCCGAACTTCTTCACACTGCGGAGAATGACCGAGTCAGACATAGTGCTGGTCGCCTGTCGCCAGCCACCCTGCAACAGGAAGTACACGAGTTGGCCCCATTCCAGCCCCTTTCTTCTTTTTAATCAATTATCCAAAAGTAAGCAGGATCTAGTTGAAGAGCTAGCCTTCACTAGTCAAGGTCAGAAAGAAGTGGATTTTTAATTGGGTCATTAGCTCATGAAAGACCGTATTTACTAGAAGAGCTAAACCCACACCGCTGGTTACTGTTTCTTTCAGGCTGTTGGGTGGGCCGGTTTCTTCTTCTTTGTGCTTTTCTGTGCTTTCGTACTGATTTATTTATTGAAGGAAGACAAAGGCAATTAGAAGTGCATAGTCAACAGGCGACCTTTTGGGGTCCGTGTAGCTAAGAACTGGCATCTAAGAAAACCCCAATCTGGCTGCTTAGCATTCAGGGCCCCTAGCACATGCAAACCCAAGGTCCAGGGCATGGCAAGTCCAGGTAAGGCTAAGGGAACAGGAGAGAAATATTTTCTAAATAAAATACAAATGTCTGCTGCAGATTGATGGTTAGTGTTATTCACAGAAAGAAAAAATCTATAAGAGATCAGGATTCGAATTTCTGGACAGAAATCAACTTTCTCTGCTCCAAAGACAGTTGCAATAGATTAAAACCAGAACAAACATACTGCCATTGTGGCAATGCCAACTCATAGTGACCCTACAGGGCAGGATAGAACTGCTCCAGTGGGTTTCTGAGACTGTAACTCCTTATGGGAGTAGAAAGCCTCATCTTTTTCCCATGCAGAGGCTGGTGATTTCAAACTGCTGTCCTGGTGGTTAGCAGCCCAACACATAACCACTATGCTACCAGGGCTCCTACACTAGGTGAGAAATAAAACTCACTGCCATTGAATTTATGCCAATTCATAGCAACCCTATAGGACCAAGTAAAACTGTCCTTTGGGATTTCTGAGACTATAACTTTTTTACAGAAGTAGAACGTCTCATTTTTCCTCCTGTGGAGCAGCTGATGGCTTTGAACTGTCAACCACAAGGTTAGCAGACCAGCCATAACCCACTGCCACCAGGGCTCCTATCTATACTATATGGTATGTTAAGAGAAAGAAAAGAAGGAAGGAAGAGAAAAACATAGCCAGGCTTGAAAAAACGGTGAACCTCTTTATGAACGAGAAAAGAAAGAATAAATATCCTGAGTAAGCGGGCCGCTCACCAAACAAGCTCTCGGTGTTTGGACCTGTGGGTGAGGAGCAGGCGGGAAGGCCAGAGTTCAGCTCCTGAAAGAACAAGTGCTCTGCATAAAATAAAGGCTTAGCGCCCATCTTTCTGCATGAACTTGGGGGCTAAGGTGGGTCTCCTGCACTGAAGGAACGCAGAAAAAACAGCAATGCCTATCAGAGGTGAGGTTACTAGGTGCTGCCGAGCCAGTTTAGACTCACAGCAGGTCTGTGTACAGCAGAATCGTTTCCATCATTGCCTGGGTTATTGTTCATGATGAACTGCAGATCCAGGGGAGTTGTAGGAAGAGAGACAAGAGAAAGAGTGACTACAAGTACGAATCACTTCAATCACAACACCCACGGTCTGTGAAATAGGACGTTATGTGATTTGGATGTTGTATGAGCACCATATTAAAACCTATTGGAACCCACTTCCTGCCAAACTCTTCTCAGCTGCAGCTGCCGCTTCTGCTGCTCTTGCTGGGGCTGCTGAGGTGGCAGCTGGCAGGGGCCAAGGGTGCTCAGCTCTCGCCACTGTCCCTTCCAACTGAGCCACAGCCCTGGCCTGCCCCCACAGCCCTGGTCTGTCCAACCAAAGCCATGTCCTTGACTTCACCTGCTTAATCTTACCTGTAGTTCACTGCTATAAGAGTCTAGGTTTGGGGTTTTGAAACCATTAGAGTAAAATAATACATTAAAAGGAAGCTGCTCTCCCTAAACACAAACAAGTGAAAAATGTATGGGGCCACATATGTATAAGCAGACAGACACTGCCGGAACAGCCATTGAGCTTTCCATACTTGTATGTATAGACATTGAAAATGTGTAGAGAGTGTGTTTGTGTGTGTGTGTGTGTGTGTGTGTGTGTGTGTGTATACACAGCCCACTCCTGAGTTAAGTCTGACTCATAGTGACATTCTGTAGAGCTTTGAGACTAATCTTTATGGAGCAGACAGACTTATATTTCTATCGAGGATTGGCTGGTGGGTTTGAACTGCTGACATTGTGGTTATCAGTTCAATGCTGATTTCACAGCACTGCCAGGGAGTATGCTTGTTCTCTCTCTCTCTTTCTCTCTCTTATAACACACTCTCATAGTAAATACACACACAGGCTTCAAAAAAATTGTGAAAAAATCCATTCTCCTTTCATTCCATTCTCCCATGACCCTTTTGTTGTCTTGTCATACATTATTGTATAACAGGAGCCTGGATGACGCAAGAGATTTACAGTTGTCTGCTAACCCAAAGGCTGGTGTTCAAGGCCACTCCACAGAGAAAAAAGCCTGTCAAATGGATTCCGTGACATTTATAGAGGAGAAAGCCCTACGGAACTATGCTGTTCTACAGCACATGGGCTTCCCATGGGTCGGAAGCGACTTATGTCTAAAATCAAGACGGGGCGAAAGGCTGCTAACCGCACTCTGACCTCTTGGTTAGCAGCTCAGTGTGTAACCCATTACCAAATCCTCTCCAAAAATAAAGCACATGATATCATCTCATAGACAGGCAGATCTAGAGACAGGAAGTAGGTTAGAGTGGTTGCCTAGGACAGAGACGTGGGTGGGCAGCGAGGAATAATTTCTTTGGGGTACACGATCCCTTTATGGGGTGGTTAAATAATTCTAAAGTTAAATTATGGTACTTGTATAACTGTATAAATACACTATAAAATACAGAATTGTACACTTCAAACTGGTGAACTTCATGTATGTGAAATTTTTTAAAGATCTTTTCAATTTTTTAAAGTTCAGATATATACTGATGAAAAAAGACATATGGAAAATCATAAAGGACCATTTAAGTTGAATGATTTTAAGATATATTATGCAGATACTGATATCCAAAACTGTTATAAGCAATATTTTAATGTCAAGAATTATGCGATCTATGCCCAAAGCAGTAACAGAGATAAAAGAGAATACTACACAGTAATGAAAAGTAAAATCCACCAAGAAGACAGGGTGGAATAGACCCAACCACCTAATACTACAGCATAACCCATAATGGAAGATTTAAACATCAATTAGTAACGGACAGACCAAGAAGACAAACAGTTAGCACATATAGGAGCTTTGAAAATGAAAATAAGTAACCTTATTTAAAATCTACACATCACTCACTAACTACACATCACTCACTAAATTCGCAGTGACCCTATAGGACAAGTTAGAACTTCCCCCGCGGGTTTCCAAGACGGTAACTCTTTATAGGACCAGAAAACCTCATCTGCCTCTACCCTCCCAGTATTGCCACGGGAGAGTGGGTTGGAAAGAGGGAACCAATTACAAGGATCTATACGTGACCTCCTCCTTGGGGGACGGACAGCAGAAAAGTGGGTGAAGGGAGACGTCGGACAGGGTAAGATATGACAAAATAATAATTTATAAATTATCAAGGGCTCATGAGGGAGGGGGGAGGGGGGGAATGAGGACCTGATGCCAGGGGCTTAAGTGGAGAGCAAATGTTTTGAGAATGACGAGGGCAATGAATGTACAAATGTGCTTTACACAATTGATGTATGTGGATTGTGATAAGAGTCATATGAGACCCTAATAAAATGATTGAAAACCATACAAACAAACTAAAAAACCTCATCTGTCTCCCAAGGAGCACTGGTGGTTTCCAAGTGCTGAGCTTGAAGTTAGCAGCCCATTCCGTAACCCCTGTGACATCAGGGCTCCTTTTACTACCTGCACATATAACCTACAAAAGCAAGATGCTCCTCTTTTTCATTTCCACTTATCCCTGGGCTATTTAGAAAACTTGACCGCGCGGGATAGGAAGATCTAAAGAGAGATGAAAGATTAGAGGTTGCCTAGGACAGAAATGGAGGACGCCAATGAGTAATTCACCAGAAAAGTGACATCACAAATCAATGAGAAAACCATGAACGATTCTGTAAATGAAGCTGGAAACTTAGCTATTCATAAAAGATCCTACCACGTACCACTCCTAGAGCTCAGTTCCGAGTATATTAAAGACCTAGCTGTGAAAGGCAAAACTTAAAAAAAAAAACTTTTAGATTATGGACTTCACAAACTTGACAAAAATAAAGGACTCTCATGAAAAGAAGAGAAAGTACACACCATAAAGAAAAGGCTGAGAATGTGCCTACAATAAAATTAAAACCAAGAATGCCTAACAGGATGATGTAAGATATGAAAATAATAATCTATAACCTATCAAGGGTTCATGAGGGAGGGAGGGAGGGAGGGAGGGAGGGAGGGGGGACATGAGGAGCTGATAGCAAAGGTTCAAGTAGAAAGAAAATGCTTTGAAAAGGATGATAACAACATGTACAAGTGTGTTTGACACAATGGATGGATGTATGGATTGTGATAAGTGATGTAAAAGCCCCCAATAATAGTATTTAATAATAAAAAAGAATGCCTAACAAAAGATACCAAGCACAAGGTTTCAAAACGAGCCAAGACTTCAAGTAAATACTAAAAGAATCAGATTCAAAATTACTTTTTGCAGCATTAACAGTTCTTCAATGGCACAGTATTCTAATTAGAGACTAAAATAGTTGCTGTTTGTATTGTTTGAGATCTTAACCAATTTTTATCTTAGAAAGGCAAAGAAGCTCTTTAATAATGAAAATTGAAAACCATGTGAAAACAATTAGTCCCAATGCCCTAATGAACCACAAAAACATCATTCTCCACCACTCTGAGGACAGAAGGACTAGATGGTGCCCGACGACCACTCGCAACTGCTCTGAACGGTGTCTCCTCAGAAGGTGCTGGCTGGAGCGGGAGAAACGTACGGGGCATAACTCACAATCCTAACAGAAGCCAGGCTTCAGGGCGAGAGAGAGAGAGAGAG